GAGTGCCTGACAATGTCTAGGTCAAGGTGGGCATGCCTGCACCAAGGGTGCTGTCAACTCAGGCTTCCTTCTGACCACTGCTTGTCTCTGGGCACCAGATATCTAGGCCACACAAGGCTCGCTCATGTAAGACGTAAAGAACACACATTGTACTAACTGGTATGACTCAGTGGATAGAGTGTTGGCCTTTAGATGGACCTGTCTCACATTTGAATATCACTCAAGCACATGCACCTCATTTGCAGGCTAAACCCTTGGCTCTGATTGGGGCATGAAGAGAAGGCAACCAATCCATGGGTCACTCTCACATAAATGTTTCTCTCTCTCTCTCTCTCTCTCTCTCTCTCTCTCTCTCTCTCTCTCTCTCTCTCTCTCTCTCTCTTCCTCTTTCTTCAACTATCTAAAACTCAATGGGAAAAATATCCTCAGGTAAGGACAAAGAGAGAGAGAGGGAGAGAGAGAGCAGACCTGGGCAAGATCCTGCAGCAACATCTGGGAAGGCCAGTCTGCAGAGGTGACTTACATCCCTGCGTCCCTGCAGCCACCTCTCACTCTTTGCAATGCTTTCCGCTGCCGCTCTTTGGCTGTGGAATCATGCCTGTCCTTTCTACCAATGACCTTCCCTGGGACCCAGGACCGCCTGACAGCTGGGGAACCTGACACAGGCTCACATGTGTTCACAATGGCTGGTGGGCACAGAGCTTATGCCTGGAATTGATCCATCCTATTTGGCTTTGCCTCCTCCCTCCCTCTCCCTAAGTCCTCAGCACTTAGACATCTCTCCCTAAGAAAGAATTCACACACCCAGGCTCGGTGGGTTCCCCATTGTGCCAATTCTGTTGCCCACCCTGACAGGCTGATTTTAAAACATGCTTCCTTTAGGTGCTCATGGGATACCACCCTCAAAACACCTAACAAGACCACTTCCTTTACATTCCAAGACTGTGACCACTGCTACACAGCTCACCTGAGCATCTGGTCCAGACGGCCTAGGAGGAAGCAGGGAGAATCCATGTGGAGCTCTCGGAGGTGCTGCAGCCGGAGGATCTGAGAGAGGAATTGGTGAAAGGATTGTTGTTCCTCTCTCTCCCACTCTGATTCCTCTTGCTCCTCTTCCTCCTGTTCCTCTTCTTCATCGTCCTCCTCCCCTGCAAACATGTGGATGTGGGAGAGAGAGAGTCTCTGCAGGTTCCTCATCTGCCCCAGGTAAAGAGCAAAGGTCCCCAGGGTGGGCAGGTCCCAGGTGCACTTCACTTCTACCTCCTGGATGCAGTCCAGCTGCACCTCATCCAGGACCTGCCTCACCCTCAGGAAGGGCACCACAGCAATCCTCAGCTTCTTGCAGCACAGGTGTACCAGCCCTTCCCTCTGCTTGGCCCATTGGATGACGTACATAAAAAATTTATCCCTGTCCCTTTCATTGAAGTTAAGGTCTAGGAACACCTCCACGGGAGCTAAGGGGTGCTCCATGTTGGGGCTGGACCTGTGCACAACCACTGGTCCTGTCAGTGATCGCTTCTGGGTGCTGTCTCCACACCACATTCTCCAGAAGTCTGCACTCAGTTTCCTTAAATCCAGCACCCGCAGTTTCCATCTCCTGTGGGAAAAGCAGGACATTAGTGAGATTCTTTTAGGTCAACATGACATTGGCTAAGATGCTTTATGGACAGTGTGTCACAGTGATTGAGCATCTACCTATGAACCAGGAGGTCATGATTGGCTTCCCAATCAGGGCACATGCCTGTGTTGCAGGCTCAATGCCCAGTGCAGAGGGGAAGTATTTGTAGGAGGCAGGCCATCAGTGACTCTCTCTCATCATTGGTGTTTCTACCTCTATCTCTCCCTTCCTCTCTGAAATCAAGAACAAAAAATGTTAAAAAAAAAATAATAATAAAATAAATAAATAAATAAATAAATAAATAAATAAATAAATAACAACAGAGGCCTAGTTGGTTTGGCTCCATGGACAGAGCTTCAGCTTGTGGACTAAAGGGTCCCAAGTCCCTTTCCAGCCAAGGGCACATGAGGGAGTTGCAGGATCAATCCCTCCAGTAGGGGGCATGTAGGAAGCAACCAATTAATGATTCTCTCTCATCATTGATGTTTCTTTCTCTCTATCCCTCTCCCTTCATCTCTGAAATCAATAAAAATATTTTTTGAAAAATAACAACAGAACGAAAGCAGGGAAGAATGAGACTGAGCATCTGGGTTGAGGCAGCAATCAGACTGCACCCCAACCGTGAGCTTCTACTTAGAATCCCAAGGTCAACTTCGCCCTTACCCTCCTCTCCCTCTGCTTTGCTCATCTCTTTCTATCACTCCTGCTCCACACTTCTACCTTCAAATACCACTGGGAGGAGGCAGTGCGTTTTGCAGATGACTCTCCCAGTCGGGAGTCCTCCAGTTCCCATGGTGAGCTCAGCAGTGTGCCAGGGCTCCCTGAGCCTCACTGACACCTTCACAAACCTTGGGACCCCCTTAGACCCTCCACACACCCTGATGCCCGTAGTCTCCAGGATGGCCAGGACCCTACCAGGCACCTGGAGCAGCCTTACCTGGGGCGAACCTCCTGGGCAAGCAGAAGGTCAAGCCCATCCAACACGGCTTTAAAGACCTCGTCCAGTGACAGGTGTGTCAGGCCGCCCAGAGGGAGGACAGTGAAGGGCCAGGCTTGTGTCATCGCCTTCAGGACCTGGAGATGTCTATTACGGTAGGCCTGGATGAACAGCTGCGGGAAGAGCTCGGCGGGCAGGTACTCCAGAGCTGCGATGGCCGAGGCCTGGTCCCTCAGCAGGCTCTCCCCTGCCAGCTGCAGGAGTGTGGGTGGGGTCCTGATGCTCATCCTCAAGGTGCTCCAAAGGAATCCTGTGGGAAAGTCCAGGGAACAAGACATCCTCGTCAGGCCAAGCCTTTGAGCCCCAATCCTCTGACTCCCCATTTTCACAGGAATCAACTCAGGGCCAAAGCCACTGCCTGGCAATGGCGAGACCCTGTTAAGAGAGTCCCATTCTGGGCTAGGTGACCACAGATGCATACCCGTGTTTCCCCAAAAATAAGACATGCTCCAAAAATAAGACCTAGCGCATGGAAAAATAAGACATCCCCCGAAAATAAGATCTAGCTCATCTTTGGGAGCAAAAGTTAATATAAGACACTGTCTTATTTTTGGGGAAACAGGGTAGTTCCCCTGCAGGCCCCAAGACACATCTCAGAAACACCCACATCTTTCATTCCAGTCTGCCTGGGAAGTAGGTACTCAAGAGCCTGAAAGCTGACTCCCACCTTTTCTGGGGAAAATTTCAGACCAATCTATGGACACAAACCTAATATTTAAAATTTCCAGAAATAAAACCACAGTTAAGATGTTTTCATTAGGGGTGTGAGAGAGGGGAGGGGAGGGGTTGAGGAATCAGCTTGGTTACACATTTATAAATAGACCAAAGCACAAACTCAAATGTTGGAAATCCAGGCAAAACTACACTTAGAGGCAAAATCAATGATTTCAATTTCTTTGTCAATAAAACAAAACAAAAGAAAAGAAGGGAAGCACTTGAGGCCAGCAGCCTTGGCTGAGGTTGGAAATTTACCTGCTGTTGATCTGGTTGGCAGGGGCTCAGATCTCAGACCTGGTGGAGAACAGCAGCACTGACTGAAGACCTGGAACGCTCTGACTCTCTGCTCTGATACCTGAGGTTTTTATACACCTTCTTAAATACTAGAATCCAATCAGACCCTCACCCCCCAGCCCTTAATCCTATCAGGCACCTGAAGCAACCTTACCTGGGGCGAACTTCCTACGAATAATCCAATAATGCAATTGTTGCCTCTTCAGATGAATGGATTGAGAGAAAGTGAGGGAGGGGCAAGATGGAAGCCTGGCTCATTGATCCCTTCCACAGACACTGACTGAAGTTGACTTATGGCCCATAGTTATCATCCTGGGTGTGAGACAGTGAAGGTGTCATGGGTTCCTGATGTTTAATAGGAAAGAGCAAAACCAGAGAGGCTTAATGGGAATAAGCCAACCCCTCATGGCTATTACCTGCCCCTCCCTCCCCGAGTCATATTTTATGTGGTGTAGAAATCCTAAGAAAAAGTGTTATGCCCCTGAAAAACTGTAGTATTTTGGTAAAAAAAAAAAAAAAAAAAAAAAAAAAAAAAAAAAGATGATTTATTAATAGCTGGCCTAACCCAGCTTATTTCCTCTGCTCGAGGCTGACAGGCCTTGGCTAGGAGGCCCCAGCACGGTTCCTCTGCATATGGATGAGTCCTTCTGGAAGTAGGGATCCTGCCCTGACCCTGACCCCTCCAGGGACACGTTCTGAGAGTTGTGTGTCCACCTGGAGAACCATGAGGAACACTCGAGTCCACGGTCAGAGCCAGCAGCCCGGTCCCCTTCACTTCAGGGGTTGGCGGGCCCCTTAGCATGGCCCATTGTATCCACCCACTGAGCAGCCACAAGGAGGCCAGACAGGCCCAGAGAGAAGAGAAGGCCTGGAGGGAGGGATAACATGCTGCTGAGCGCTGCAGCCAAACCACACCCCATCACTCCAGGTTCTGACCCTGAGCCCTCCCCACCTTTTTTCATCAGTGACACTACAGGGTCCTGAGGTGAAAACTGGAGAGACAGGTGAATACATGCAAGAGGACCAGAAGGTTGTCTTTGAAAATTGTCTTTATTTCTCATCATTCCTTTACAATCATTCACCCCGGGATTCACTCCCACACAAGAAGCTCAAGCCCCAATTCTGCCCTCTCCCCACACAAATGAGATTCATGTTTCTGCTGGTAGGACACTTTGCCTTTGAGGTCCCAGTAAGTCCCCATCCTTTGTCCCTGCAATCCTGTTTCCTGGCTGTGTCCCTCCCTTCCCCCATTCACATTGAGCGTGAACCTGAAACCCCGATCCAAGGTTTCAGCTTCCAAAGTCCCAGAAAGAAGGCTTTGCTGGGTCCACCCTCTGAACAGGGTCCGTCCAGGGGAACAGCACGGGCTCCCAGTCATGAAAATGCAACTTTATAAAAGTTGTAGCCCCTGTCGGTGGCAAGCTTGATGGTCCTGGGCTGTCCTAACTCCCTCAGAATCCCCTTCAGCTCAGCCCGGACCAGGGCGAGTCTGTCCCAGTGGACAGTGCCCAGGGTCGTGTAACACTCCCGGGGGACCGGGTAATACTCATATTCTAAGCTGCGCAGCCCGGCCGTGTGGCGCAGCAGCTTCTCCACGGTGGCCACAGAGAGGCGGTTCTCAGTGATGGTGAACTTTCTCAGCTGGTGACAGCGGCTCAGGACAGGCAGGATGGCCTCAACTTGGGAATTCACCATGGCACAGTTTTCGAGGAACAGGTCCTGGAGGGTGGGTGCCAATGCCTCCAGCAGAGCTCGGAGGGGCTCAGGACTAAAGTCAGCGAGGCTGGTAGAATACAGACCCAAGGTCTTCAGCTGCCTGAAGTTCGGGCACTGGAACAGGTGTGTCAGGTCTGAATGGGTCAGGCACCGGCAACAACTTATTGTAAGTTTTTCCAAGGGGGACTGCAGGCACCTGCGGAGACACAGAGCGGTTAGTTCCTAGGAACGTGGTGGCAGGTTGAGGGGCCTCCAAGTGAGAGAAGACCGATTTGTCCAAGCCCAGGGTTGTCCTGACAATCTGATGAAGGGCAACACCCAGGAAGCCCAGACTCCTTTTAGGCTTCTAAAAGTTCACCACTTCTCCAGAGCTTCCTTGCTCAGCTGCCAAGCAGAGCACTGCTCTCTGGAGGGTGCCTGGACATAAGGGAAACCATTGGAACCTGCTCAGAGAGCCTGACAGAGTCTAGGTCCGTGGTCGCCAAACTGCTGCTAGAGAGCCACATGCAGCTCTTTGGGTCCTTCAATGTGGCTCTTCCACAAAATACCACAGCCTGGGTGAGTCTATTTGAAGAAATGGTATTAGAAGTTTAATGTAAACATTTTTTTTTGCTCTCAAAAGAAATATCAATTGTTGTACTGTTTATATTTGACTCTGTTGGCTAATGAGATTGCTGACCACTAGTCTAGGTCAAGGGTGGGCATCTGGCACCTTATGATCAGGAGACAAAACCAAGAGTGCTATCAACTCAGATTTCCTTCTGTCCACTGCTTGGCTCCAGGCACCAGACATCTGAGCCACATGAGGCTTGTTCATCTAATTCAGAGGGAACACACCTGGCCTTAGCTGGTTTAAATCAGTGGATAGTGCTTTTTCCTTTTGGACCCAAGGGTCTCAGATTTGATTCATGGTCAAGGGCACAGAAATGATTTGCAGGCTCAATGCATGACCCGTGTTGGGGCATATGCTGAGGGCAACCAATCATCTCCCTCTCACTATGTATTTCTCTCCCACTCTTCCCCTTCCATTCCACTCTCTAAAAATCGATGGGAAAAAATATTCTCCTTTGATGATTTTTTAAAAAGGGAGAGAGTAAACCAGAGGAAGATTCTGCAACATCAACTGGGGAGGCCAGTGTGCAGAGGTGACTTTCATCCATACATCACCGCAAACCACTGGTCACTCTGCAATCCTATCCACTCCGGCTTCCTTAGCTGCAGAACCATGCCTGTCCTTCCTACTAATGATCTTCCTGGTAGCTAGGACTATCTCAGACAGATGGGGAATCTGACACAGGCTCACGTGTGTTCACGTGGCTGGTGACCACAGAGCTTATGTCTCAAATGCTCCATCTGATGTGGTTTTGCCTCCTCCCAACCCTCTTCCTAAGGCCTCATCACTTAGACATCTGTCACTAAGGAATTCACACACCCAGGGTTGCTGATTTTAAAACATGTTCGTTTGGGCCGAAACTGGTTTGGCTCAGAGGATAGAGCGTCGGCCTGTGGACTCAAGGGTCCCAGGTTTGATTCCGGTCAAGGGCATGTACCTTAGTTGTGGGCACATCCCCAGTAGGGGGTGTGCAAGAGGCAGCTGATTGATGATTCTCTCTCATCAATGTTTCTGACTATCCCTCTCTTCCTCTCTGTGAAAAATCAATAAAAATATATTTCAAAAAATGTTCCTTTGGGTGCTCACGGGATAACACCCTCAAAGCATCTCACAACACCATTCCCTTTACATTCTAATATTGTCTACAGTGCTAAACTGCTCACCTGAGCATCTGGTCCAGACGGCCTCGGAGAAAGAAGGGGGAATCCAGTTCTAGCTCACAGAGGTGCAGTGGGCTGAGCATCTGAGAGAAGAACTGGGAAAAGGATATCTGCAACTCCTGCTCCTCCCTCTCTCGCTCCTCTTCCTCACAATCCTGCTCCTCATCATCCTTCCAATCCTGCTCCTCTTCCTCTTCCCTTTCCAGTTCCTCTTCCCAATCCAGTTCTTCTTCCTCCCAATCCAAATCTTCTTCCTCTTCCCAATCCTGCTCCTCTTCACCCAACACATGGACGTAGGAGACAACGAGTCTCTGCAGGTTCCTCATCTGCCCCATATAAAGAGCAAACGTCCCCAGGGTGGTCAGGTCCCAGGTGCAGCTCAGTACTACCTCCTGGATGCATTCCAGCTGCACCACATCCAGGACCTTCCTCGCCCTGTGGAAGGGCACCTCAGCAATCCTCAGCGTCTTGCAACACAGGTGTACCAGCCCTTCCCTCTGCTGGGCCCATTGGATGACATACATGAAAAATGCATCTCTGTTCCTTTCATTGAAGTCAAGATCTAGGAACACCTCCACGGGAGCTAAGGGGTGCTCCTTGTTGGGGCTAGACCTGTGCTTAGTCACTGGAAAAATCGGTGAGTACTTCTGGGTGCTGTCTCCACACCACATTCTCCAGAAGTTGGGATCCATGAACCTTAAATCCAGCACCCGCAGTTTGCACCTCCTGTGGGGAAAGCAGGACATTAGCCAAGATTCTTTCAGGTCAACATGCATTGGCTGACATGCTGTATAGACAGTATGTCTCAGTGGTTGAGCATCTACCTATGAACCAGGAGGTCACAATTCAATCCCTGGTCAGGATAAATGCCTGATTTACATGCTCCATGCTTAGGGTATGGTGTGTGTGTGTATGTGTATGTGTATGTGTGTGTGTGTGTAGGAGGCTGCTGATCAATGATTCTCTCTCATCATTGTGGCTTCTATCTCTCTCTCTCCCTTCCTTTCTGAAATCAAGAGAAAAAAACATGTTTGTTTGTTTGTTTGTTTGTTTGTTTTTTTCAAAAGATTCACCAAATGAGGGCAGGTCAGAATGAGACTAAGCATCCGAGTTGAGGCAACAACCAGACTCTACCCCCACCCTGACTTTAACTTTGATTCTCAAGCTCAGCGTCTCCCTTGCCCCTGCTTTGCTTTGCTCATCTCCTTCCATCCCTTCTGCTCGGCACTTCATGTACCTTTAACACCACTGGGAGGAGGCAGGGCACATTTTGGAGGTGCCTCTGCCCAGTAGGTAGTGTTCCATTCCCCAGTGAGCTCAGCAGTGTGCCAGGGCTTCCTACCCTCACTGGCACCTTCAAAGAACTCGGGTCCCCCTTAGGCCCTCCACATGCCCTGACCACCTTGGTCTCCGGGATGCCCAGGACCCTCCCAAGTACCAGGAGCAGCCTTACCTGGGGCGAACCTCCTGGGCAAGCAGAAGGTCAAGCCCATCCAACACGGCTTTGAAGACCTGGACTGGAGGTGGCCGTTTCAGGCTCCCCAGAGGGAGGACAGTGAAGGGCCAGGTTTGTGTCATCGCCTTCAGGACCTGGTGGCGTCTGCTATGGTAGGCCTGGATGAACAGCTGTGGGAAGAGCTCGGCGGGCAGGTACTCCAGAGCTGCGATGGCCAAGGCCTGGTCCCTCAGCAGGCTCTCCGCTGCCAGCTGCAGGAGTGTGGGTGGGGTCCTGATGCTCATCCTCAAGGTGCTCCAAAGGAATCCTGTGGAAAATTGTAGGGAACAAGGCATCCTCGTCAGGCCAAGCCTTTGAACCCCATCCTCTGACTCCCCATTTTCACAGGAATCAACTCAGGGTCAAAGCCATTGCCTGGCAATGGTGAGAGCCTCAGTTTACAGAGTCCCATTCTGGGCTTGGTGACCACAGAGCCATAGCTCCCCTGCAGGCCCCAGGACAAGTATCTCAGAAGCACCCATATATTTTTTTCACCCAATCTGCCTGGGAAGTGGGTACTGAAGGTCCTGAAAGCTGACCCCCACCTTTTTTGGGGGAAAATTTCAGACCAGTATATGGACACAAAGTTAATATTTAAAATTTCAGAAGTAAAACCACGATTAAGATGTTTTCCTTAGGGGCTTGAAAGGAGGAGGGGCGTCAGGGAATCAGCTGGGTTACACCTTTAAAATAGAATAAAGTTCAAGTTCAAATTTTGAAATTCAGGAAAAACTACACTAAGAGGCAAACTCAATGCCTTTAATCAGTCTGTTAAAACAACAGAAGGAGGTAGAACCAGAGAGAATCCAATATGGCGGTATAGGTAAACACCTAACTGCAGCATCACACAACAATTTCAATAAAATACAACTAAAATACAAAGTGGATGTTATCCAGAACTACAGGAAAGTCGACTGACTGAAAATTCTACAATGAGAAGGAAAGAGAAAACCAAAAGGAAAATCAGGAGCTATAAAAGCCTAACGTCAGGAGACACATTGTGCACTCAGAGAGCAAGGAGCCAAAGAGGAGGAGGAGGCCGAGTGCCTGGCTGGGGTTCTCTAGTGGGAAGGAGATAAAAGCTCCAGACTGTGCTGAACCCCAGATCTTACAGCACTAAACCCCAGTTCTGGGTGAGACTCTGGGGACCTAGACACATGAGGGAGTCTGGGCTATAAGGCAGAACCTCAGGGGAGCAGCGAAAAGCAGTCCCGGAGGTGTGCACATTATGCTCAGAGGACGGACCGTTGACTCTGCTGCTAGATTGCCCTAGCAGGAAGGAGACAAAAGCTTTGGGTTGTGCTGAGCCCCAGTTCTGACTGCACTGAACCCCAGTTCTAGGCAAGACCCTGGGGACCCAGGCTCATACAGAGGGAGCCTGGGCTTAAGGCGGAAACCCAGAGAAGTGGCTAAAGGAAGTCCTGGAGGTGCGCACATTGAGCTCAGTGAACTGTGGTTAACTCTGCCACTGTTTTGCCCTAGCGGGAAGGAGATAAAAACTCCAGACTACTCTGAACTCCACTTCCAACTGAACTGAACCCCAGTTCCGGGCTTATTGGGGGAGAGCCTAGACTGTTTGATAATGGGCGAAACTCGAGGGCACCTTTCTCTCAGAGGTGCTTGCAGCGAGTACCAAAGGACACTGAGGGACACTGAGACTCAGGAGCCTCATAGGGCGGGGCTGAAGGAAGCCAAGGCTGTAAGCTCCACCCTGAAACTCTGCCCTATCCAAGCTGAACACAGAGACTTTTAAGGTTACCAACTCAGGAAAGCTTCAAAAATGCCGAGACAAGGAAACAGATCACAAACGAAAGAAATGGAGGACAACAAGTGACTGGATATAGAGTTCAAAACCACGCTTATAAGGTTTTTCAAGAATTTCCTAGAAAAGGCAGATAAAATAAATGAGGCCTATGAGGATATGAAAAGGGATCAACTAGAAATAATAAGGGATCAACTAGAAATAAAGAATACATTGTCTGAAATAAAAAAACATTATACAGAGTCCTAAGAACAGAATGGAAGATCACAAGAATCAAGTCAAAGATTTGAAACATAAAGATCCAGAAGACACTCCTCCACAGAAGAAAGAAGACAAGAGAATCCAAAAAATTGAAGATAATGCAAGAAATCTCTGGGACAACTTCAAGTGAACCAACATCAGAATTATGGGGGTTCCAGAAGAAGAGAGAGAGCAAGATACTGAAAACATACTGAAAGAAATAGTGACAGAAAACTTCCCCCACCTGGTGTAAGAAATAGACTTACAAGTCCAGAAAGTGCACAGAACCCAAAACAAAAGGAACCCAAAGAGGACCACACTAAGACAAATCATAATTAAAATTCCAAGAGCAAAAAACAAAGAGAAAATATTAAAAGCAGCAAGAGAAAAGCAGGTAGTTACCTATAAAGGAGCACCTATATGATTGTCAGCTGATTTCTCAACAGAAACATGCAGGCCAGACGGGAATGGCAAGAAATATTCAAGGTGATGATTAGCAAGAACTTACAGCCAAAAATAATCTATCCAGCAAAGCTATCACTCAGAATCGACAGCCAGATAAAGAGCTTCACAAATAAAAAAAAGCTAAAGGAGTTCATCACTGCCAAACCAGAATTATATGAATTGCAGAAGGGGGTTCTCTCGGAAGAGATAAAATAAAGGTAAAAATTATGAACAACAAATACGTAACTATCAACAAGTGAATCTAAAAACCAAGGAAATTAAAAAAAATCTGATGAACAATATTAACTGTTGAATATAATAGAATCAGAGGTATGGAAGGGGAGTGGACTGATGATTCTCGGGGAAAAGAGGAGTAGGGGGTGTGGGAAGAGACTGAACATAAACTGTGCACTTATGAATGAGGACAATGTGGGGTGGGGTGGAAACCTGGTGGAGGGGAGCAATGGAGGGGAAGAAAAAATGAGGAACATTTGTAATAATATGAACAATAAAGATTTATTTAAAACAAACAAACAAACAAAAAAACAACAAAAGAAAAGGGAAAGGGCTGTGCAAATATGAGATCAGCTGCCGTAGCTGAGGCCGGTAATTTACCTGCTGTGACTGGCTTGGCTGGGGCTCAGATCTCAGGCCTGGTAGAGGAACAGAGCAGTGATTCAGAGCTGGAAATCTCTGAATCTCTCCTCTGGTGCCTGAGTTTTTTATACTCCTTCCTAAACACAAGAATCCAATCAGGACCCTCAGTCTCCCACCCTTAATCCCAATGCCATTATTGTCTCCCTTTAGATGAATGGATTGAGAAAAAGATAAGCAGGGGTAGGGTGGAGGCCTGGCTCATTGATCCCTTCCACAAACACTGACTGAGGTTGACTAATGGTCCATAGGTTTCTTTTCTGTGTGAGACAGTCAAGGTGTCATGGGTTCCTGATGTTAAATAGGGAAGAGCAAAACCTGAGAGCATGGTTACTGGGGGTCTCTGGCCTCATCATAGATATCAGAACATTGCAGAGTTAAAACATCCTCGAGAAGACACTGGTGCCATCCCCAGGAGAACTAAGGAAATGTGTCCAGGCATCAAGTTTGGTGTTATGGCAGGTGACATAGCAGATTATGAGCTCCTCAGGGAGGAAGTGGTGGGCAACTGAGGTTGTGGCTGTCCTAGACCCAAAGGCTTCTCTGAGGGAGGTCAGGACAGAAGGACCATGAGAAGCAGGGGTCAGGGCTGGGCAGGGTGGCGCTGGGCCATCCTAATGGGACCCTATGAATGACCTTGGGCCATGGAAAAGATGGGTATTTTTCTTGGAAAGAAGAGAGATGGAAGGACTCTACCTTGGCTGAATTTAGGATCTCAAAGGAGACAAGCTGGAGGGGAGGCAGTGCCATTTTAGAGGGCAAAGGGAGAGATTGGATCTTCTATCTGGCCCAGGAAGAAAAGGGTGGGTCTGCTCTGGGGAAGATGAAATTAGCTCACAATCTGGGTGGGGAAGATTAAATCTAAGAATGAGTGGAGAGGGGACAGGGGTCAGCCCTGTGAGATAAACATTCTCAAGCCCCAAAGGCTTGATGCTGTGGGCTCTTTGGGATGTTGGAGCCAGGGACAGAAATAACAGTCATCCAATCACATGCAACCCTGCCAACATTGTGTCAGCTGCCACCAGGTGATGTTTATCAAAGGGAAGAGGTTCCTCCCCAGAGAACCCTTCATGGATATCAAGTGCCTTCCTGGACTACACTGTGTCTCCCTTGGCCCCATTCCTGCCCTCATGACACAACTTCACTTCACCACACCCCCAATGATCTCCCTTATGACCACCAGCCCCTAAATCCCCACTTCAGTAACCCTGACCCCAATATGGCTCTGTTCTGCATTGTCTGACATCCTTGTGGTATGTATCTCCAGAGGCACTGTGAGGCCAGGCAGTAATCATGGGTCCTTAGACATCTGCAAATCAACAGGTGGCCCTTGGCGGTGTGAGGAAGGCCAGCTGTGGCCAGCCCATTGCTGCCACGTGGAGTTCCTGGCCTGCACAGCCTTCCTCTAGGTCCCCATCCTTCTCCTGTCAGTCACTCTCCCCACAGACTCCACTGAGCACCCAGTGTGTGTGCCACGACCTGACTCTGGGGAACTCTGAGTCACATGGAGAAGTCAGCGCCACTGAACAGACTCTGAGTGAGGACAGGAGGCACCGGAGTGAGTGCTGAGGCCTGTGGCTGAGCTCTCCTGGGAATGGACAGCACAACCCAGGCTGCCTCCACTGGGAATCATAGGATTTGTCTGCAGTTAAAAAACCTGCAACCACACAGCTGTGGGGGACCAGGATGTGTCAGTGCAGGTCCAACAATTGTAACAAATGCCTGACCCAATGGAGGGGTGGGGTGCGAGGAGAATGGGGCGGCTGTGAGGGTGGAGGGGCAGAGGTGTATGGGAACTCTCTACCTTCTGCTCAATTTTGCTAGGGAACCTAAATCTGTCTGAAATACTAGGCTGCGATAAAAAAGAAGGAATTCTTAACATTTGCAACAGCATAGATTGAATAGGAGATCATTACGCTAAGCGAAATAAGCCAATCAGAGAAAAAGAAATATATGATCTCACTCATTTGTGGAATATAATGAACACCATAACCTGATGAACAAAAGTAGAACTAGAGTCACAGAAGCATCACACAGACTGTTCAACCTATGAAGGAAGGCAGGGGTGAAGGGGTAAGAGATCGATCAATCAAAGGACTTACATGCATGCATATTAGCATAAGCACAAGAGAAAGACAGTAGAGG